TCTTTCATTTATAGTAGAGACGGAGTCTCGGCTCCTTGCTCAGGCCTGGTTTTGAACTCCTGACCTGAGCAATCCGCCCGCCTCGGCCTCCCAGAGTGCTAGGATTACAGGCATGAGCCCCCGCGCCCGGCCCTATTGCAAATCTTTTAGATGTATTCACACATTGCATGGGGTGGCGTAGAATCATCACCTTCGTTTCATAGCTTGGATTTCTTTCCTTTTCTCTTTCTGTCTCTCCATTCGCCACTGTCTTGCAAACGTTGATCAGAGAGGCAGGGGGTCACTTCTCCGAAGGCTAGCTGCCACTCTGCAGGGCCGCGCTGCAGAGACCGTGCGTGGGCAGGCGGGGGACAAACCGTGCTGGGAATCGAACACCAGCGCTCACGGTTCGAGGCCGGGCGGCCTGACCTCAAAGGCCTGGTCTCCACCCCTCTGCCGAACAAAACCCGCTCTGCCTCTGCCCGCTTCCCCTGCCCCTTCCAGCGCATCTTCCCCCTTCTTGGCCCGGGGCTGCCCCCTGTCTGATCCCTGACGGCCAGCTTTATGCCGCAGCTCCGTGCGGCCACCAGGTGTAAAAACGAGGCCAGCCCCGGTGGCCTTTGGAAAACTGGCTCTAGAGTCACTCTCCTGGGTTTCATTCTTAGCCCCCGTCCCAACTATCTGTGCACCCCTGGGCACGTGATGTTAGCTCTTTTTTAAATTTCTTTTTGAGACAGAGTCTCACTCTGTCACCCGGGCTAGAGTGCTGTGGTGTCAGCCTCGCTCACAGCAACCTCATTTTTCTTAAAAATTCATAAACTCTATTCCAAGCTGGGCCTGTTTCTGCCTTTAGAGCCATTCATCCCCCTCCCCTGTGCTGAGGGCTGGGGGGGGGCTCTGGGGTCACCCGCCATTGTCACCTGCCGCTGTCACCTCCCCGTCACCTCCGCTCAGGCTGGTTTTGAACTCCTGACCTTGAGCGATCCTCCCGCCTCGGCCTCCCAGAGTGCTAGGTATACAGTTATTAAAAGCCATTTCCCTCTGGTTGAACTGATTGCTCAAGGCTGGCTGTCCCTTCCTTGGGCCCAGAGGAATGGGTCTTCAAGTCGATCACCTAAAGTGTCCTTAAATCAAACTCGTGGATTCCTCAGGCTCTCTTAACGGGAAAAAAAAAAAGTGTCTCAGTCGTGCTTGTTGGATGGATTTTGGAATGAGCTCTGCAGGATTCTAAAGTGATTATACTGCACCTCAAAAATCGTTTTTATGTTTGAACCTTTAATATTTGCTGATACATATCATTATTTTTTTCCCTGGTCTCCACCGTTGGGACAGAGGCATTGAACTAACATGGTGTAGTTTCGTGTTCTGTTTTTTTTTTTGTTTGTTTTTTTCTTAAAATGTCTTTGCTGTAGAATCACGAGCCCTTCTTTTAAAAATGTGTTCAGGGAGTAAAAAGTCTTAGGTCTGTGTGTTAAGATAGGGTCTTTGCTGTGAGCTATGGTGGTCCCCAAAATGTTCTTTGTATTTGGATACAGTGGATGGCATTGGAGAGACATTCTGTCCCATGAACGCTTTTCAGAAAGCAGCCTTGATGGTTGTGTAGCATTGTCTTCAGGTTTTTAGCACATAAATCTAGGAATTCGGATCTTCACGCTGGCTTTTCCTCCGCTCTGTGAGCCCGGGGGCAAATTGCACATCTTAGGAATGGATTATCTCCAATTTTTGTTTTTTTTTTCCAATGGTCAATGAAGTAGGGTTAGGGTGCAATTTTTTATGCATCTCGAATGGTTTTGAGCACTCTGTCCAATTCTGAATGCCATCGCTGCTGAGGGAACTTCTTTAAAACTATATTTTGTTAACTAATATGTGGTTGGTTAATGACTGCAGAATTGTGTATATCAGAATTGTGCCGATATTAGGACACTTTACGATTATGTGTATTTTTGGCTGTCTACCATTCGCCCGAAACTTCAGGCAACGTGGTAAAAACCCGTTATTTTGCTGTTGGAAATCTGTTCCATTTCAACATTAAAATGCTAATGGATTCCTGTTTTATTTTTTATTTTTTTTTTTGCTTTTTAAACACAGGTCCTTCGAACTTAAGACAACTTTCTGGAACTGCAAAAACGGTCGGTTCTAGCTGCACGTGGGAATTTGGAGTCACTCTGAGATACATCCTGGAATAATTGCGTGTGACTGGAACCAAATCTTACGAAGTCTCCAAGGTAGTATCATTTTAGCATTACCGAGAGATGGTATCTTTACAGAGTGTTGAGAATGAGGCGAAACGCAGCGTTCTGGACTCTCACACGCAACCAAATTTAAGCCCCTAGCAAATTCCCCAAAATAAAAAAAAAAAATAAAAAAAAATCTGTAAGTAGAAGCACGCTCTTAAGAAAGGATCGCCAAC